GACGTAACAGTTTAAATGTCGGCAGCAATAACGCAAAGCCGAAGAATTATTATTTTTTTCAGAGCTAGCGAATCCTAATAACGTGTCCTGTAGGGGCAGGAACACACTCTGTGTCACAACGAAAACCTCAGTTTAAATACTCTCAAAGTAAATTTACATTCTTGTAGGGAAACGGAAAGAAGATGGGACATTAAAGATCTATATCATAAATTAACTCGTTCTGTAATATAATAATAACCTTACAAAGTAGCCGCACAAACTTAACGACTACATACATAAAATAAAAAAGTGAAAGAATAAATGGATGTTTAGATAGAGTGGCAACTCTTTCTATTAAATCTAGTTTAAACTGGTTATTTTATCATTTATTTTATCTGTGCAAAATGTGTACTGTAAAATCGATACACACTAGTAGTTCCGACCTGGGTTTGATTCTAGGCGAACAGGCTTATCTGTATGAGACTTTTCGTCGTTTTCCCCATGTGTGACATGCATAGGAGCCAATAGCTGTAATTTAAAACATACTTAATTGATAAATATTGATATTTGCCCCATTGCTGAAGTCAACAAAATTGTTTGTTAAGCTTCTCGGTATAAAACCGATTATTGAAAAAAAAAATTAAAGAAGTACTCAAAGAGGGCAAATATTAACTCAAAAAATCCAAATCATAAAAAGGTCATATTACAGTATAACACATCGAACACAGTTTGTCATTAAAGTTTTCAAAAGATAAAAATATATTATATAGAAATATATTATAAATAATATATATCCATTCATATACATATATATATAACGTATATTTTGCGTATAACGCTCACTTTTAATGAAAAAAAAGCACCGAAATTTACGGCTGCGCGATTTACGGCTGCGATTTCTTACGAATACGCCAGATATAAAAATGATAGCTTTAAAATAAGGAAAAAATCAGATTTTTACATGCACCAAAATGTTGCTTATTTAAAAGAAACGACATAACTTATGAAATTAAACACTTTCATTATCGGATAATTTGAACAGCTCGCTATGTCCGTCTTCGGTTTTTTTCAGCCGTATCATCGAATTTTGTTTCATCTTCATCATCACTGTTATTTTAATCCATAAATAAATAATCAGTATTCGTTCCATCTTTCAACACTCCCAAACATCCTTGCAGCATGATTTTCATTTTCTCTAGCAAGATGAATGGCTTTGCATTTGAAACCCGTACTGTGTTTGTTTCTTTTCTCGGGACCCATATTTACTACTAAAAGGAGCACTAGATCAACTACTTCAACTAGAGCAAATGCGATTTACTAAAGCCTTCGAATTTCAAGTCAAAATCGCGGCTACAAGTGACTACAGAAACAGAAAAATCTAACTTCTAATTCTCCAAATTCATTCAGGTTGGATGTGCTCTACAATAGCATTCTTTTGGATATCTGCATTGAATACAACCCACCTTCTTTGCCGGAATATTTACTCCCTCAAACATTTAAACCGCACTCATATTGTTCCCCTTATCGCTTGTCAGTGCGGTTTACACTGGTTCGAAAGGCTAACACAAATGTTCGAATAAGTGACCTCAAATAATAAGAGCATTGCACATGTATCTTTGAGATTTCTTCGTGAAGAATTGGGTGCGCGTTATACGGCGAATATACCTAATTTTTTAATGTAGCTTCAAATTATAGATGCGCGTTATATGAAAAAAAAAGAATATAGTATATATAAATAGATACCAGAAAATATGGTATGCATAATAAATATGGTATATATGAATATTAAAATATGAAATAAATATGGTATATATGAATGCTAAAAATAATATATATATAATAAAAATATATCACAAAAACAGGAAGTTTATTCTGTAACAATTATGTATTGTAGGACACAAGAAATATTTTCTATTCATTGCAGTTTTTAATAATATAATTAATAGAATACGTTTCTAAAGCTGTCAGTTGGATGTATTACAATTTAAGTGTACTTTTATTTATAAAAATGTAGCACTTTCTTTTAAAATGTAATAATGTAAATTGTTAGGAACAGTATTTATTCGCTACAGTGCTCTCTGTTAAGCATTTATAAATTCATTAATTTTGAAAAATAAAATAAAGATTATATGCATTATTTTATCTAAATCATTAAAAGGCATTTAACTGCTTTTAAGTCATTACGTAATTACAACAATATTACATTTGAAAGATAATCTGATATGTCTCAGAGCAGATTATTTTCAACCCGTGATTATTATAAGTGTTCCTGTATTTCTCACAATAACAATACTTGCGGATAATACATGCATGGTAGTGTAGCATGACGGCTCAAAACCTTTTTCTAAAAATATTTAAATCAAAATTTTACCACGACGACATCCAAACGTAAGCTACAGTCTTCGAACGTTCTGCTCTATTTCGGGAGCACCAGCGGCCGAGCGGTAAAGTCGCTGAACATTAATAGTTCGGTCCGAGGTTCGAATCCCACGAATGGGCTAGCTGCATGGGTGTTTTCGGGGTTTCCCCCAGGTGCAACGTGTATACGAGCAAATTCCCTTAGAAAGTCCTCCACGAAGGCATTCCTCCCCTTAGGCAGATAGCCCTCGAGGCTTTGCCGTAATTAAATAACCTAACCTAACCTTTGATCTATTTCCCCACTTTACCAAAAAAAAAATAATTTATAAATTTGACATCGTGAGTGCTGAGAAACACTGAGTAGTTAAACGAATCCTACATTTTTAAGTGTTTCATGTACAATACTCAAACATAAGGCGAAACAACTTTCAATTTCTTTATAATACTTCTAGATCTTCATTCTGACGCAGGTTTTTATCATTTTTAAGACAAAAATATCAGTTAAAATATCTTTTTAATCTTTGAAATCAAAATAGCACGTTACCTTAGTAGGTATTTGCTATACATACGGCCTCACATATAGCCTCACCATAATTCATAATATTTTTATTTATCTTTTAAATGGAAATATGGTTTAATTGCTTAAGGAATTTAAAGATTTTAAAACAATGAACGCATTTCTTATAAATTTTATAATGTATATTACTGCTATAATTTTAAAAGCAATCTAGGATATATCCAAATATAAATTTTTATGAATATTTACTTCATTACTGTACTTCGCAAAAGATATTCCCATATTTTAAACCCATATATTTTCGCCAAACCCATATCTATACGTCGCAGTATAAAACTGGTTACTTTAAGTTTAAATAAAATCTGTTAAATTAACTGCTACTTTATCAGTGATAGTACAATGCAGAAGAGTAGCTAGTTCCGTATTTTGCCCTTATTCTAATTTTTAATGAATAAATCTATCTAAATTTGCAACGTAAACCACGATGTTAAAACACACATTAAAACCCCGCTTTTGCGTAACTCAGTTAACTGAATATCATGAAGTATTAAGTAAAAAGACAGGCTTTTCCTTTTCTCTATTACTGCATGTTTTATTGTTACAAAGTAATATATCGCTTCTAATTTCAGATGTAATTCATGCTGTTATTTTTAAAAACGTTTTGTTTGGTGCAACAGTTTTTTGTTTTGGGTTTTGTTTATTTGATTATGGCAAAGCCTGTCTAAGAGGAGGGATACCTTCATGAAGGATTGCCTAAGGAAAGCTGTCTCATATACACGTTACACATGAGGAAAATCACCGAAACACCTGAGCAGCCAGCCCATTCGCTATAAGTCGAACCAGTGTTCAGCGACTTTACCACTTGGCTGCTGGTGGGCCAGTGCAAGACAGAGATGATATTTTTGCAAATAGAAAGAATTTTTATGATTGAGCCTTACTTTGCAACTCATAAATATAAATATAATGCCGTCTTTCTCCACACTGTCGATGATCCAACGTTATTGTTGCTGGCTTTGCTATTTTTTTCCCAAATTAGAAGAGACTAGCAGCCATTTTCTTTTTTAATCTGAACAGTTCCAGGTTCTCGCAATCAAACTACTAAGCCAAAAATCATTGTCTTATTCGGTTCAGAAATATCTGGGAATGTTTATTGAAATATTTCATCAGCTTTACAGCATAAATGCATCACGAAGTAATGCTCAAACATAAAAATTCTTTCTGCTTAGGGAAATCCTATTTCTAACTTGCACCAAACAAACGGTTTTTAAAGCTAACAGCATGGACTGCAACTGACACTTCAAATGGTATATTACTTACAACAGTATACAGGTGTCGTCCATTGAAACACTTTGCCATTAATATCCATTAGGAGTTTTAAAATGTTTAAAATTCGATGCGCGTGACTTTCAGATCACCCTGTAGTTCTCATTAGCGAATATGTTAGTTTCTGTTAAGAGGTTGTTTCGTGCACATTTAGTGTCTCTGACAGCTTGGATTCAAGTATAGATATAGTTCAAGAGATAAAGATCTTCCAGATGTCTAATTATAAGTTAAAACTGCAAATAATTAGCGGGGATCGGCAAATTGCGGATCTGTTCGCAAGCTCAAATTTCGTGTTGTTCATTGTTTCGAGGCAAACATCCTACTACTTTGAGCTATTTTGTTATGATCTAAGTGCTTTATTGTTTTGCATGGAATGAATTTCTTGGATAGTTACGTAACTAGACAGGTTCTGGGTATTCAAAAAGAGAACAACCTCTCTTAGGTGAATATCTAAATATTAACCAGAGATACTTAGAATGAAAAATGCGAAACTGTTTACTAAAACTCGAAATATAACTGCTAAATAACTAGCTCGAAAAGCGATTATTGCACACGAATGTTTAGGGACAACCAACTATTTAAAGAATTTTTTGCCGGGTTTACTACTAGGAAGGCGATATGTATTTTTCTCTCATATGCAAAAGCCTGTAAATGGTGATTTTTCTGAACTATGTTAGAAGTTTTTAATCTTTTGTTATAATCATTATCCAGAATAATAGATAAGAGTAATTTTTTCTTTACCTAAAAATTCTAAAGAGAAGTTGTACCAAAATATAAGTTTATCATAATATTTTTAGTAAGTACAATAATTCAAAATGCTTACCATGGCTATATTTTCTCCTTCTGAAATTCTACTTCTTTAAGATAGATGTTCTACCATATTTCTTTTAGCAGTTACTTCCTGGAGATGCTGTCGGCAACGATGGAAGTTGTATTCTTCCACTTCATTTCTATTTTCTTTTCAAAGTAGAATGTCTGAATATCTTTCACCAAGGTGTTAAACTTAAATTATAATCGGCAATTCAATTTCCTTTGCGAAATATAATTGCAGCAGGGTTGAGAAAGAAATGTTTCTTTAAAACTCTAATGATCATTTCAGGAAATGATGAAAATAAACCAGAAAAAATAAAAGATAAAATGTTTTTACGACATCTATATTTAAGACGAAGTTTCGGTTGTCCAAATTGAGGTTTTAGTGCATGGGTTATACACAGGTGAAATATTCAACGAAGTCAGAGACTAATTTCTTAGTTATTTGGTATAAATTTGCATATTAGTTAAAATTCAACAAAGAAATAGTTTAAGACACAGAGCGTGTTTAAAATTCGATTCAAACACTGCGCTCAACCTGATTAGACTAGTACATTACAATACTTAGTCCTCTTGTGCAGAAAATGACAAAGTGAATCTTGTTCCACCAACCCAGAATGACTAAAGAATGGGGAACGTATTATGCAAAACTGAATTAATCGTTTCTTTTACTTTTCTCCTTTCATGAATAAGTCTTCTCCGCGTGACGTACTTTTCATCTATTCAGTTTTTGAAACCTTTTAACGTTTTTCTTTTCATCGCGGCGTAGCACATGATGGGGCAAATATTAAAAAAAAAATTATTATCCACACCCGGTTAAGTGGTAAAATAACTACCTAATTGTCACTATCCCCAAAGAAACTAGATAAATGACATCACACATCTGTCCTGTTACAGCTCACGGATGATCCCACATTCATCGTTCTTCTCAGAGATGATGAAGATGAAGAAGCGCTCATTTCCTCGTGCTCTTTAGCAATGCATTGAGTCAGTTAACTGACAGCGCGCGGTTTTCCTTTCTTCCTATCGGCAGCGCCACTAGCGGGAGCCGATGGAATATTTTCGCTCGCATTCGCTTCAGAAACGGCAGCAGGTGGCTTAAGAAATTTTCGCGGAGAAGTAATTGAATACTCATCTTGACATCCCTCCTTCTCTGTCTGTGTTTTGCCGGTGACGAACCAAACGGGAACCAAATGTTATTTTATAAAATTTACCGACTACGAGAACAGAGGTGTGGGGAGAAGACGAATATGTTTTGATCTACATTTTTCAGAAAATATATTCCTTTTTAAACTACATATTCACGAAGAAATGAAATCTCAACTTGCTACTACAGTCACAGCATCTTCAGTTAAAGCTACGCATAATTTCTTGCATTTGGTGGGATCTTCAATTTTATCAGACTTTGAGCCAGATATGTAGTTGTAACATAATACAAACTTCTTTTAATAATTAAAATACTGTTGCAGATGTCCCCTAAACATTTTGAGCTGAACAAATTGTAATTTCAGCAAGTTCAAAATGGTATTAATTGCATTATAAAAGCAAAGCTAAACAGCAAGGGCCCGTTGCTTATCGATGACCTCTTTGCCTTAACTGAGACCAGCGTAGCGGAGTGCTACGTTTTCTGCCAGGAAAATAGTTGCCGAAATAAGTGAATAATAAATGCATGCAGTAACATAACGTAATATAACGTAAAATCGTTATTAGACCTAAAAGTTAATCGGGACTGCACATCGAGAAAAACATTTGCCGAAATCATCACTTTCCAAATATCTGATGGTTGATTTACGCGAAAACCAATTCTCTCGGTTTTCGCGTAAATCAACCATCAAATTCTAGTGGGAAACGTACGCTGAAGGGAACTGCAAAGAATACATTCTGGCCTCAATGGTAAAATGTACCCCCTACATAGACAGCACATCGATTTCAACGAGCCTGTTGTCAAATACCATTTTGTAACTACTAATTCAATTTTAAACATCCTCTCAGTAAACTTCCTCTTTGTATTTATGACTATTTCAAGAAGACATTTTTCAAAATATACTGCAGTTTTTACTTTTGCTGATTTTTCTTACTTTTTTGCTATCAAACTAATCATCGCAGTATTTCGATTATTTCACCTTAGAACAGTCTTTCGGAAGTTAAGCTTATTCGTTTGGGAAATAATATAAGCAAACTTCCTTTGAGACTTTAAACATAATTTATTGATTTCGAACGATGTTTCTAAAGTAACTCACGAGTTGCTAATAATCGTAAATACTTTACTAGAGTATAAATGTCATTAAAGCCACTAAGTAGCAGCAATTGTTACTTAAATTAAAGATGTCAAAGAGAAATGCAAGTAAAGTAATTTTACGCAATCGGAAAGATCGTAAGGCCTTGATAATAGGTGACATCCCTTTCTTCACTGCTGTGTTGATTAAGGAATTTTTAATGCAACTAGATTCTATTTGCGTTTTTGCTCGTAAAATCATGAAACCTGAAGGTCGCACATCTTTTCGCCTATGACTGGCTTCCTGCGGCCCCCTACGTAATTTTCCGCCAATGCATTTCAATTATGTATTTTTTTAATACAGTGCTTATAGATTTATATGTAGCATAAATTCAACGAGCAGGGCACTACAATACAGTGTTTATTAAGAAAATAAATAAAAAACATTTTAGCAGTCATTACATTCCAATTAAATTCGAAAGTAGCGCTGTCCCTCAGCCTAAAGTATATATACAACAAACATATATAGGATGGCCATTAAAAAACTTCCCCGATATATGAACCCTGAGCGGCCTATCCATTCAAACAATCAAAATGAAATTTCAGATATTGTTATCTGAAGGCACGTGCTAGATTGTGATGATTTAAAACAATAGAGTTCTAACGGCTACGGTAACAGTGAAATTATTTCGAAATTTTCGAGTTAAAACAATAAAGTTTTTCCTGCGCAAAATAATCAACGCATTGAAAAACCATAAATGGCGCTGGAACGATATACGTATGGCAGAAACTTCCAGCATAAAACATTTGGAAAGAAGAGCATTGTAAAGGACCAATGACAACACATGAGAAGAGAGGGAAAAAGATTTTATTGGAATTTACAGGTTTTCAGTGTGTACAATGTTTCAAAATAGATGCATCCTCCATAAATTTGCAGTTTCGTGGCCACCGGGATTCCCCGGCCTCGCACCGATAAATTTTTGGCTCTGGGATTATCTGAAATCTAAGGTGTACACATCAAATCCGCGATATTTTTCAGGACTGAAACAAGCCATAAAATGTGAAGTGATACAGATTCCTCTTGCAATATTACGTGCGTCATCGTTGCGAGCAATCTCGAGCATGTAATGCGTTATCTTCAATTTGTAATTCCAATAAAAGTTTGTTTTCCCTCTCCTTTCTTGTGTCGTCATTTTTACTTCATAACGCTTTTCTTCGAAAATCTTTTACGCCAGGAATTTTCGTCATACGTGTACTGTTCCAAAGCCATTTATGAGTTTTCAGTTCGCTGATCAATTTGCGCAGACTATCACTGTCACTCGAAGAGCTGTATTATTTTAAATCATCACAATCTCGAGCACATATCTTGAAATAACATTATCTGAAATTTCATTTCGATTGTTTAAGAAACAGGCCGCTAAGGAGTTCATAGGTTGGTGTAGGTTTTCTATGACCTTCCCGTATCAACGCTTTGACAGAACCCACAAAATCACAATTTAAAATATAAATGTAAACAACTTTAGAAACACATGGACTGTGTTTACATGCGCTATTGAATGAAAATAAAATACAATGAATAAATTTATGATTCCAGTTAAATGAAGAACTTATAGATATGTACACTTGCAATGCCAGGGTGCGTGACTATACTAAAGTTAGACGCCGGTACAATCCATAAATTTATTCGCTAGCATAAAGTTGGTAGAACGTTTATATTCTGGTGTGTCCTCCTCCCCCAATGAGTTGGCATTTTTACTTCCCTTGAATCAGTAAGTAAATGGTAACAATCTAACAAAAGGACCCGACTGACCTATGAGCATGTACAAATCTGGGATGAAGATAGTTTCCAGTAATTTTTCTCCACGGCTGCAAACATTATCAAACTCAAAACGATTTCAGATGTTGAGCTGTAGTAACGAATATAGAAGTGTATAATTATTTAATGTTAATAGTACGTATTTTTCCTTCATGTGTCTATAAAAAATTTAATACATGAAGGAAAGAGAATGGGTTGTCGGTATTTATTCTCAAGTTTCGGGAAGTTTCTGTGAAAATTTGGTATGTTTTCAAAATTTGCTTAGTTAAAGTTTATGTTAGAAGTTATATAGTGGTTAATTTATATTAGAATTATTTGATATAAATGTTAGTTCAAAACTTTAATATTTATCTGCTAGTGCATTTGAAATACGAAATGTAACCAACATAAATTTGTTACAGATAATAAATAAGCATGACAAATTTGATTTTTTTTTCCTTTGCATTATTATTACTGTTTATGTACGCTTTATTTATGATAAATATGTAGTAAGTAAAATTTGCAATTATTACGTTGCTACATCATTCAAATAAAATTTTGATTAAAATTTAGTTTGTTATTTGAAATTTATTTTAAAATTTTGTTAAAAACATCTGGCTCGGCAGTTGCTTTCAGGTCGTGCGTGAGGCCCGTATGCAATTTCTAGACAACAGAATCTTGATTCAACAAGTTTCCGTCATTTTCTTTACAAAAGCAAAAGAAAATATTCTAAAACTAAGATACGTAATATGACGTAGACTGTAGAAAGCTGTGGAAACCGTAGAAATGCCGCAGTTATTCATAAAAATTTTAAGTTGTTACTTAGCAAACTAAATTTACTTGAAATTACTTCAGCTAATTGGATTATTAAAAAGAGTAATTTATTGACAAGAGTACGTATAGCTTTGAAATCGCTGAATTTGTTATAGGTAGTTAGAGTAAACTGAAAAATATAATAAATATCTTGTGTCGCGTCCAATAACAACACATCAGAGAACGGCTACTTGCCTAAAAGCGTTAAAAATAAAACTTTTATGTTCCCTGCAATGGCAATTATTGCCAAGTCACGTGGATGATGAATGACGTGGCAACGTAAAAAGCTGTCAAAAATTTGGAAGTTTTTCAATTTTTCATATTTAAGAGATTTTTCTGGATGTCAGATATTCGCGAAGTCACTGTTAACCTCTTTCTGCGTGATTTACCTCGTGTCATCTGCTATGCTCTGTCTACAAGTTTCGTTAAATAAACATCTACCCCGTTCATGTGCAATTCAAAATTATCTTCTTTTGAAACGTAACAACGATATGTAATCTGCTTACGAGATTTCTATCAAAGTGTTACAAATAAGAAAACAATAAAAAATTACAATACATTTTCAATACTTTGCAGTCTTTTCAACCAGTGGGAGTTCGTTAGAAAGAAAATTATTCATAGAGTCCTAAACATTTATATCATAAAAAACCATATCTGCAAACTGAATAAACATTTCTTTTAACAAAACCATGTATAACGACTTCGTATACAACTGACAACTTCACATACGAATTTATTGATGCAGATTAAACCTGAGGCTCTATATTACCCACCTGCTTAGAGATGCCTCTCTCTGTTAATATATTTGTTTCACTAAACCTTGACCCGTAAAATCATAAAAAGTTCAAATTTACTCTAGTTTCACAATTTTAGCATACCGACGAATTTCTTCGACTCGCACCTATATCAGTAATTTGACAGTTTGACATAGTCATCTCCTAACAGCCGCTAAGTTTCCTGATTGGTCAGAAACTTTTTAAACTCTTTCTCATGTCCAAAACATGACGCATATAACACTTATTCGCAGCTTCCATTCCTCGTTATATATTCCCTCTTCTTGGACGCTACAACAAGCTTTCCATGAAAAACAAGGTTATTTTGTACAAGTTTGTCCTTCATTTTGCTCTCCTCTACGC